ATGTGAGATAAGGTAACAGGGGAAGAATATTGTTCTCAAGTGATGTGAGAAGTGGTGGTGGATGTGTAGGTGAGCGCTCAGGCTGCATGTGTTGTCCAGATGCTTCTCGTAAATTTGGAGGAGAGAGGAAGTCCAATCCCAGAGCTGCAGGCAACAGAATAATGAGTCTGCTGCTTACCGTAAACTTCAAAAAAGTAAAGTGTGGAAACAGCATGAAGTAAAAAAACAGGAGAAACAGGTGTGCAAGAAGAAAAGATGGAAATTAGGCTAAAAAGTGATGATTGCACATTTTTGCAGTGCACAGAGCTATATTGTTGCATCTCTCTTTTTTCTTTGCATGGAAAGGTGCACACTTACTATGACTTTAATTCCCAATGACAAACGAACTCTAGTGGAATTATACCTGGACCAGCCATTCTGTGCTTGTCTGTATCTCTTTTCTCATCTGTCTAACCCCATGGCAGAGGCTGCCCATGCTGAGCCCAGTTCTGTTTGAGATGTCTTCCTGTTAAAAGGGAGCGGTTCCTTTCCACTGTCGCCAATGTACTGCTCATTATGAGAGATTGCAACAAAATGATAATTCAGCCGAGTCTGCTGGCTTGCTTCGACAGATAACTTTTACTAACATTTGATAAAGTTTTTGAATGTTTTTCTTAAGTGCCCTGAGATTACTTTTGTTGTGAATTGGTGCTATATAAAGAAACTGAATTGAATTCAAATGGATTTGAAAGACGCTGCAAAATCTTTGACTTTTACACAGAAACTTTATAAATTTGTCATCTGGACTTCGTTTTTTTTGTTGTCCAGATGACATGATTCAACCTTTTTTGTTGTTATATACCTGGATGACTGAGAAAACAAACTTTGTGTTTTATAAATTTGGTTCAGCTGCAGTGGCTGGCTTTTGCCAGAAGGAAGAACGTTGAGAAGGAGGACATCTGAATGCCAAATGAATATGCAAAACTCATTGAGATGAAGAACAAAATATATAAGAGCATTAGTTAGTTTTCCTCCTTTTGTTTCACAGACCGTAATCATAATGATGTTTGTTGTATGCATATTTATTTTCATATATCCAAGAAAAGAGAGAGTGCACTGCGATGTAGTGTCATCATGGAAAAATCTCACAGTGTGTTTCAAGCATCTAAGCAATATGTGGAATTCACAGAGGGATGTGACCTGAGAAGTTTGCAGGAATATAACCACTGAGAGATGGTGAGAGTGTAAATATTTATAGTGTATCAGTGTTTTAACCAAAAACACGATGAAATCAAAACTAATTCTGTAGTAGTAAAATTCTTGTATTATCACCAGTCACATTGAAAGGTAGACGATCATGTGTACCTGTGTATTTGTTCATTTGTCTTCTACTGTTTATTCGTTGTTGGGTCGTGGAGGCAACAAGTCCAGGAGAGAAACCCAAACATCATTTTCTCCAGCAACGCTCTCCAGCTCCTCCTGGAGACCCCGAAGTGTTCCCAGACCAGAGAAAAGACACAATCCCTCCAGTGAGTTCTGGATCCACCCCATCGCCTTTGCCCACACGGTTTACCAAGTCTGTGCAGTAGCCTTCTCTGCCACCAGACCCAACTCTCCACCAGGTGGAGATCAGTTTACAGCTCTGCCTCTCTCTTCACCAAAGTGTCCAAGACATAGGGCTTAAGGTCCGATGACATGATTACAAAGTCAGTCATTGACATTTGGCCTAAGGTGGCCTGATCCCAAGTACACTTATGGACCATCCTATGCTCGAACAAGGTGTTCGTTATGGATAGGCATTGCCTAGCACAAAAGTCTAATATCAGAACACCGTTCCTCCAAATCAACGCCTTCCAGATGACTCCTTCATTGCCCACATGGGCAATAAAATCGCCTAGAATAACAACAAAATCCACAAATGGCATCCCTTCCATCCAGAGACCCTAAGAAGGCTGGGTAGTCTGGACTGTTGTTTGGTGCATATGAAACAACAGTCAGAACCTTTTCTACTGCAACTTGAAGCCGCAGAAAGGCTCGTTCACTGGGGAAAACTCCCAACACCAAGGCATTCAGTGAAGGACATGTGAGTATCCCCACACTTGCCCAATGCTTCTCTTTCTTGGAAAACTCCACAGTAGGAAAGAGTCCAGCTTCTATCCAAGAATTGGGTTCCAGAGTCATCTAGTTGTTGTTGCTCAATCTCACATATAAACTCTGGATCCTTACCCACCAGTGATGTGTCATCCCATGTCCCTAGAGCTAGTTTATGCTGCAAGGAATTGCCAGGAAACCTCCCTTGCTGCACGGCTTGCATGACGACCAACCCTGACCACTGCTTGTGAACATAGGCTACACAGAGAGGGGAGTCTGTCCGAGAGGGCAGGGGATTGATTTGTTCAATGAATTAACTGCCAATTTGCACATGTGCACACAGAGAAATGCTGCTGTGGATTGATTCATTCTGTACTGTACTGAAGTGGCGCTGTGTCACTCACTCACTCACGTACTGCACGAATATACTGCATGAACTGAAGGATTTGGTGTACACATCTTTTGAATTAATCATTTTAATTAACTGATTCTAGGGATTCAGTACACTCAAAAGAACTGCCGTTCCCATCACTACCCTGCGCCACCACTCCCTTAATGCTAGTCAAGATTATTATTTTGAATTACAGTATAAATATGAATTAGGAATGTTTTAGATAAACTAAATATTTAGTTCATATTTACCTGTTATGTTCCCACATGTGTTGTTGCATTTTAACTCGCATGTTAAATCTGTGCCTCAGGTTAAGTTTGCAGTTTGTAAATGACATGTTGTAGCACATATATTTTCTTCTAGCAAAATATGAAGATGTGTGTGTGTGTGTGTGTGTGTGCACGTTTTCTCATTACCATAGTCAGGTGTTTCTGTAGGTAGCCAACCTGTGATAAACAAAAGCTGTTATTCACTCATACAGGTCTCACTGGTCTTTTTGAACACAAACCTCACTTTAAAACTTTAAACTCGCACTGTTGCAACCTGTAAAATAACGGGGCACTGTTCCTTGTACTTGAGAATTATCCTCTTGCTGTGCCACAAATCTGCTTGTTACTGCACACAAAGAGACGTGCTATTAGTGACTTGGGAAAATGTGCAATATGCTTTTTTTACTGAAGGGGTTTTAATGTATTTCTATGGAAAATATATGATAACTAATGCTTAATATTTTTTGAAAAGTATAAAAGTTACAAAAGTAAAAGTCATAGCAAACTATTTTGGATGAAACTGAAGTTTTTTGACATACAAATGGTTAAAAAAATCTAATATGAGGAAGTGTGGGTCCAAGAAAAAAAAAGAATTGTTTGGAAGACTATGAACAGAAAAACGATAACTGTATGAATCAGTCTTCACACAATTATTGACTTTTTGTTTGGTTTTTAGTCCCCAGCTGCTTATTGTGGCTCAAATGTTTGTTTTTTTTAAGTTGCCAAATGAAGTGTCAAAATCTGTAATAATTGTGGCTATATCCAGCTATAATGACCAATGAGAACAGAAACCAAGACACACAATGAATTTACAATGTTTATTTATAAGTAATAAATAATGCAATAAGCCAGGGAGGGGACTGGAACCCTGAGGAGCAAAGAGGTGGTTAGAGTTCTTAAAGTCAAGGATTATAATGTTATTTCTGATCTTCCTTATGATGGAGGTCAGGGTGAGACATGGGGAGGGCTGACCCAAATGATTCCAGGCAAAAGATGTGTACATCTGAACGATGGCAGGCATTAGGCAAAGTGGCAGGAAGGCATGGAGGCCGCTGATGAGGCACAGAGGAGGATTCAAGAAACAGGAGGACATCAAGGATAACTCCTGGAAGCAGGGAGAGAAATACAAATCAATAATACTTGATTTTAGACACGAGTAAAAGGCTAGAAGACTACTATTGGTAGGTAATGCTCCAGCGCTGGCTGAATGTCTTCTGCAGCCTTTTATGCTCCTCATGCTCATCAAGTCCATGATCCACAGCTGATTAGAGCCTGGCTGTGGGAGCAGGAGCTGGCAGAGCAGAACAACAAAATTGAGATATATTTCACTTTCTGGCCAACCTTTGCATTTCTGAACATATTTTTGTTGTGTTAGACTTTGTGTCTTTGCTGCATGCCGGTGGCAGGTACTGTATGCTTCATGCTTACGCAGTCCATTTCTGTCTTTACCCAGCTTGTATAAAAGTAGCTGGGATTTTGGAGACAGTGCAGCGAGGAATATTACAGCAGGCAGTGGAAAAGTCCAAAACACCAAGTTTTTGTGTTTATTTTTGCATGCACACCCACTCGAGATCAAGCCTTTTGCCTCACATACTGTTAACATTTTCCCTAAATGACTTTGTCTAAAACTGTGACGAGTGAAAGGGACAAGCGATGTTTGTTTTAGTGATGCCTGCAAAATGTGGCCTCCTTATGAGCAAAACAGGGGCTTGTTTTGGGTTTTATTCCTTCTGCATAATTTCCTCTTTACCATTACACACGCTGAGCAGTCACAGTGTCCTCTTTGAGTTGAGTCAACTGTCTGCTGAAGTAGAAAAATTAAAATGCAATCTGCACCCATCCTGAGTCTATTTTCTTTTAAGTAAAATGATCTGAACATGTAAATGGAGGCTTTGTTTGTTGTGCATAATTATAAAATGGTTTATGCACCGTTTCACATTCAAATTTCAAAGCTCCAAATACCAGCAGGATTATTTTAGCCAACTTTTCCTCATTTTCCTCTATCAATGAGCAAAAGTAGCAACCTGTGTGTAGAGAAAGATTCAAGTGAGCCTGCACCTGTCTCATTATTTTTAACCTGAGAGACCCTTCTGTTGGCACTGTGGTTCTGAGTTTGTCCAGGCTCCAGCAGGGCAACAATTTACGCAGTTAGGAAACTTTGTAACACTAAGGCTGCTTGTTGTAACATCAGTCTGTAGTTAGACATGATATTAGCATGTCCTGGTTTATGCTGTCAGTGACTGTCCATATTGTCTGTGATGGTATTACAGGGCCGCAACCGACCATAATGTGGACAACACCACTGCCATGATGAGAGAATGGCTGAAGAAAGCCCAGCGTGTCTATCACTACGTGGAGTGGAGGCCGATGGAGGAGCCCAGGTGAGTTCCTATTAATCACCTTAGTCTGTCCTTGTATTCTTTCTTTACTTAAATAATTTGATCCCTAATCAATAGCTGAAGTCTAGAAACCTAAAGTGACTGCCTTTTTTACATTAGGTCTTACACGGATGAGTGGGGCCCGAAACACTGGCCTCCTTCCAGATTTAACCACGTTATGAAGCTGAGACAAGCGGCTCTGAAGGCGGCGCGGGAACGATGGGCTGACTATGTCCTGGTAGCATATTTTATTTTACAATATCTCACAGAGTTTGACATTTGCGTCAAATGACATGTCTGATTTCAGTCTGATTTTAATGAATAAACTTATAAAACTATGGATTTTAGTATGACAAAATCAGTTATAAGGAATTAATTGTTTTAGTATAACCCTGGTCCTGTCAATGTATGTATGGTAAAAAAGAAAGACTGAATGGATTCACGTTTTCTCATTAAGCGCATAATTTATTTAATTTTTAAAATACTTGATCTTTATTTGCAGGCAATTAGATGCTTTGATCAGAACTTGATTAATGCACAAAATCATCCAAAACCATAAATCGTATCACAAAAACTGCTGAATCGTGTAAATTTTACTTGTTCCTAAAAGAGCTGACGTTGCCAAAATTTATGTACAGTTGTTCAGTTTATTATTAGTTTAGTTTATTACTTTATTTCACTTGATTTTTTTAATCTTTATTCCAGTTATTTTAAAGGAATAGTTAAAATATTTTGAAGTGGGTTTCTGTGGCATGATTATAGCATTTGGGCTTAAATAAATAATAACTAAATGTGAGGGAAGAACACTCTTAGCAAAGTATTTGTATTCATGAAAGTCTGCCCTTTTTTAGTTTGTCGACAGTGACAACCTGCTGACCAACCCTCGAGTGCTGAACTTGCTGATGGCGGAGAACTTGACCCTGGTGGCTCCCATGTTGGAGTCTCGCTCTCTGTACTCCAACTTCTGGTGTGGCATCACCCCACAGGTGCAGTTTGGGTGGAAATCCATCTATCTGTCTTTCTACTGAGAGTTTTTGGCTAATCCTGATTTTCTTACCTGCCCAGGGTTACTACCTGCGAACCCCAGAATACCAGCCCATCCGGGAGTGGAAGAGGCTCGGCTGTTTTCCTGTTCCCATGATCCACAGCACCTTCCTGTTGGACCTGCGCCGTGAATCCAGCCGGGACCTAACCTTCTACCCTCCTCACCCGGACTACAGCTGGGCGTTCGATGACATCATGGTGTTCGCCTTCTCCGCACGTCAAGCAGGTCAGTTTGAAGCCCTCCACAAAAACACGAGACACAGTCATGATCAGCAGCTCATTAGCTGCACCTATTTTTATTATTCATGAGTATTGTTGTAAAATAAGATTTCCCTTGAGTTTGATGCACATCAGAATAAATGAAGCAACGTGTTGCGTAACTGAGCGTGTGTACGTTTATGAGCAAATGAGTAAATGTAGATTGATGTGAGTAATTATCAACAAGTACCATAAAGGATCATTACACCTTCCCATTAGTCAGCAGCTCTGAGTCTGGCATGCGCTTGAAAACCAAATAAACACACTAAAGCACGGAAATACTCACAAACACATGGAAACTTAAAGACACTTACAGAAGCCTGGGTTAAGTTAGTTAGTTCGAGCACTGACACAAGAGCATAAATCAAATACAATAACTCATAATTTTAGTTTATTTTTTTCTGCTTCAGCTGCCCATTACTAAAGACTAACTCTTGTTTTACTGACCGCTTCTCAAGTCAAAGGACTTTTTCCTGTTGGCTCATTCTGACCTGAGACATCTAGCACACATTTATATGAAATTAAATAACTAACTCATTATCACTATATTTGTTCAAGGTTTGTTTTTAAGTATTGGATTAGATGTTAAAACAGGATGCAAATATTTTGTTTCTCACAATTGTTACTACACGTTTTTGTAAGTTATTTTTGACATATAAAGGTAAATTATAACTCACACGTCTGATTCCATTCGTTGTGAGTTTTATATTTAAAGTAGCTGGCATTAAAGAAGAATTACTGTGCTTCCAGTTTTGAAAACCTTTTTCCAATATCCCTATATGGGACTTTTTGTGTTTAATATTTTTACTTTTCAAGTTTAATTTTTTTTGTTAGTTCTTCACAACTTGTAGCAGGTTTTGTTTATTTAGATTTTTTTTTTGTAATTTTCACTGCTGTTGACGTATCCAGTCTTAACCAAAGCAACTAATACTTTGTACATCTGGACATAAAAAAAAAAATTGTAATAAATTTTTGGACATTTGAAAGACATAACAAACCTATTTATAAAATACACTTCTTAAAATATAAATGCAATATTTTAAATAGGTCCCTCATGTAATATTTGGGTTGTAAAGATTATAAAAGTATAAAAATCTGCATTTACAATAAGCAGCTGATTTGTAGATGAAGTAAATTGACAATTGGTGTCGTAGCTGTGAGTTGAGGTAGGAGCATCATGTTGGTCACACATGTTTGGATCAAGAAGTTATATTTACAGAGCCATGTGTGTGTGTGTGGTTGTGTGTGTGTGTGTGTGTGTTAGGTGTGCAGATGTATGTGTGTAACAAAGAACACTACGGTTTCCTTCCTGTTCCTCTCAAGCCTCAACAAAGTGTGGAAGATGAAAGAGAGAATTTTATACACACCATTACAGAAGCGCTGAGTGAGTACACACACATGCACGTGCACGCACACATGCACACACACTAAATGTTTTGACTCCAGCATGTGATTGTGTCTGTGACTACTTCACCTCAGGGATGTTTCTTCATAGTCTTGACCTCGACGACCCTCCCCTTTTTAAATCATGTCAACCCCCTTCTCCTCCTCTGGATGTCTCCTCCCCCCACTTTTCCACTCTGTTTACCCCCCTCCCTTCCTCCATCTCATTTGCCTCTTTTCCTGCTCCTGTCTCTGCCCAGAGCTTGAACAAACTAAAAGTCATTTTATAATTGCAGTGTGTTAGTTTTGTGAGTCCTGCTCCTGTTTCTGTCAACAGTTGACCATGACATCGACCCCTCAGAGTTCATCTACCCACCTCCTGCGCCCATGTCCAAGATAGGATTTGACGAAGTGAGTTATGAGCACTTGATTTTTTAATCAACTACAACCACTTCCGATGTGTGATTGTTTTTTTCTACCTTAAACGTTGTTTAAAAGTAAAGTTGTGTTTAAAGTCACTAAAATTGTTTTCCTGTTTACTTTTTTCTGTTTTTTTTTTTTTAAGGTTTTTCTGATTAATCTGAAACGCAGGCTTGACAGAAGAACCAGGATGTTGAAAACAATGGCCTCTCTGGGCCTTCACGCCACACTGATCGATGCGGTGGACGGCAAGTAGGTCACAATCCTAGATGATCGTAAACAGCTTGAAAGATATCGTAATCCTGACACCTGCTTTCAAACACACAGCATTGCTTGGATAGTGCTCTGGCTTATTTAGCTTTTTCTGTGGAGTGGTTTAAAACTTTTGCACGGTAGTCTGACGCAGATGTGAAAAGTCCTTTTCCTCCTTCTCCTTCCTTCTTTACCTCACCCACACCTAGGGACAATTAGGTGTTACCAATTAGCCTAACGTGCATGTCTTTGGTCTGTGGAAGAAAAGCTTGCATGGGGAGGACATGCAAAGTCCACACAGACAGGGAGACGAACCTGCAGCCTTCTTGCTGTGTGGCGACAGCTCTAACCACTGTACTGCCATGCCACCCCCTGCGTAATGTGTTTGTTGATAAATATAAGTTGCTCCTATCTTCCTCAGTGTCGATGAATGTTTCTTGTTCTTCTCTCAGGGCTCTGAATGTGTCTCAGCTCCAGGCGCTGGGTATTGAAATGATGCCGGACTACAAGGATCCATACTCTGGCCGTATCCTAACCAGGGGGGAGATCGGCTGCTTCCTGAGCCATCACTCTATATGGACACAGGTGAAGGCTGTTGTGGACAAAAGCTTGTTTTTTTTAATCAGTGTGGTGCAGATCTGCGGAGTCGATAGTCGATATCTTATACGCAGCGGAAATTTCTCAACACATTGTCCGTTTGAATTATTAGAGTTGGACCAGTTCCAAAGCACATTTTTGCCATCTCAAAACAACTCCAAGCTTAAAGATTTCATAGTGGTTCGTGAAAAATGTTATTTCATAACCCTTTCCACTTCTGCCACCTTGCATTACCGGTAGATTGTTTATCAGTGGCAGCAGTCCATTGGGACAGGTAGGGCGCAGCTCCACCTTAAAAATGACTTCGCCCCACAAAGTAGTTCCTCCTAATAGATAATGTAAATGACTTATTGATTGAGCTTGCTGTGTAGTGCTTTGTTCTGTGTATTTTCCAACTATTTTGACCATTTTAAATGGAGTTTTAAATGATTTTTAGTGAATCATTCTCAGTTTTTTTTTTATTTTACTTATTTATTGTTATGGGGCAGTCACTGACCTGCATTCATCAAGTGAATCTGAACATGTCACCAGTAGGGCATTAACAGAGTACTCGAGTAATCTACACGTCGATTGCTAGGACATCTATCGATGTTAAAAATGTAAAGTCGAGTATCCGTAGTGACGTCATATTATGTGACCACCGTATGACCGTAGGGGGCGGTGTTGCACTGTTGCAGGTCACAGAGTATGGTGTAACACCGGGTCCAATCCACCTGTAGTGAACCTGATCTGACCTCAAATCTGATCAGATGAACAGAGACTGTTATTTCATTGATCTGCATCCAGAAATACAGTTTGAGTCATCTGGGGACTTTCTTTCTTGAATTAATCAAGTAGAAAAGACAATCCTCTATGATCATTACTATTTTACAAATGTTTGATAATCAAATTGTGTTAGTTCACTCAATGCTTACAGGTTGAAGAGAACTACTCATTTTTATTTTACATAAACAGTAAGTAATGATTTTTATTCCTCATTCAAAGAAGAAATCAGGTTAATATGCATTTCTTGATTTTTCTGTCTGCAATGAGCAAGTTTGTAAGTATGTTAAAGGTCGAGTCTCGGTCAACTAAAATGTTTACTGAGAAGGAATGCCATGTTTAAACTTTTTCAGAAGATAATAAGAGTGAGACTCCCCGAAGTCTGGTTTTCTCCAATAATCTTTTCTGTATGTTGTAAACAATCTCATTCTCTGACCTCGAATTTGATAACATCTTACATCACAAACCACACCTCTATTCTGGTCCATCCACGAATCAGAAAGCTCTAAATTGACCCGGAAGTCAACTCATTTAAAATGTGGCAACTTCCCGGTTCTGCGAAGAGTCTGATGCTGCAGAGCTCTGAGAGTTCCACACAGAGTGCTGAAGAGTGATGGAGTTAAAGTGCTGAGAGAGTGCACAGAGTCTGATGTCGGAAGTCTGATAGAGAGTGCTAAGGAGATGAAAGGAGTTCAGAGTTCTTGGATGCAAACGCATTCAGGATGATCCAGAGACGTTTTGGGATTATAACTTCTGTTTGAATAACCTCGTACGACTCTCTAAGGGTTTGGCAGTCCTCACGGAGACGCTGAAAGAGTCAGAAAGGAACCCTACGCCGACGCTGATTTTATCATCAACCAGGTAGAAGGTTCTATTTTCGACCAAGTGTACCGTGGGCAAGCTGAGATCTGATGGAGCGTGCACGTTTCTGGTCAAACAGATTAATTCCCTCACAAATCTCTCTGTAAGATAAATCTCCATTTCCATCTTAAACTCTGCTTTCTCTTAAAATCAGTACAGATATTTTAGAAATATCTGAAGCAAAGTCCTCGATCACCGCCGTGTGATTCAAGTCCATTATCTGTGAAACTTGTCTGTTATTATTTTCATATTTTGCCAAATTAATGTAAATGTTTGATGTTAAACTTTGATTCTGAAAATAAATGACCGCATTCATTTTGATGGGTCAAAGATAATAACGTCTCTCGTTACATTTCTGTTAAATTCAATGCACGACATTTACACAGTCAGAAAGATGAGGAACTCGTGAAAA